CGTGTTTGAGTTAAAAAAACTAAAATCACTTTTATTCTTATAAAGAAAAACTAAACATTCAAAAATAAACAAGGAGGGAAACGTCAAAATGTTGTTTAAATTAAAATATTCTTTATAACTTTCCCTTTTTTTTAAACCTAAAATTATTCTTAAAGGCGAATTTTTGCAAAATAAATACTTTAGATTAGACTATTGCGGAGCCCCAGTATATTAAGCCATATCTTAATCTACTTTCAAAATAACTAAAATAAACCATTTTCAGCGTATCCATACTAATTCCCTTAAGTTTTAATACTCTTAGACAATAACAGGCTGATCTTAAAGAGTTACACAAGGAGTTAACGTTGTCTTTCCAGTTCAGTGCCGAGTCAATAATTATACCTAGAGATTTAATTTTACTTTCGTAGTTGATATTATAATTTAGAATGGGGTGTTCTGCGTTGGTATTTCTTTGTTGAAAGTACATATATACATTTGGTTTTTTCAAAATTTATTTTTATTTTATTTAGAGTGCACCAAGTTTGTATTTTGTCAATTGTATTATTAATTAGATGTTTTTGAGTCAAGAAAAAGGTATCATCTGCAAACATGGTTGTTGATGCGGTTGAAACATTGGAAGGCAAATCATTAATATAAAGTAGGAACAGGAATGGACCTAAAATTGAACCTTGAGGGACCCCTGCTGAGGTTTCACCCCACTCCGAGTAGACGCTGCTTGATCCCGTTGTTATTTTAGTCCTTTGAAGCCTATGTTTGAGGTAAGACTCAAACCAAAGAAGTGCTGTTCCTCTTATTCCATAGTGCTCAAGTTTCAGAAGTAATATGTCAAAGTTTACACTATCAAAAGCTTTTCTAAAATCGCATGAAAGACCATATATATTTGGTTTTTTGTCTAAATGTTTAATAATATCTTTTGTTATGTTGAATAGGGCAGAGTTTGTGGACCTACTTTTTAAAAAACCATGCTGATATGGACTAAGTATGTTAGAGTTTTTAATAAAATTCTCTACACGGACATACATTACTTTTTCAACAATTTTTGATGTCATTATCAAGAGTGATATGGGTCTAAAGTTGTTACATTCATAACTATCGCCTCCTTTAAAAATAGGACACACATCAGATTTTTTTAGGCAATCAGGAAAAATTCCTTCCTCAAATGATTTGTTGATTAAATCAGCAAGTTTATCCGCCACCAAAACAATAATTTTTTTAAATATAAAAAAGGGTATTTGGTCCCATAATGGTAGCTTACTTGTAAAACTGTTAGTTAACCTGTAAACATTTTACTAGTTAGTAGCTTGTAAAACTAAACTTTCTTAATTAATAGGTACGTTGCTTTGATAAATTAATGTTTACAATTGAGGAAAAGTTGTGTCTGAGTTTTTATTATTATTTTTTTAATGTTTTTGTCGAGATTTTACCAAAGGTGTGACATGACATAATTAAAATGACAGTTTTATGACCGTAATCTTGAAAGTTATCTCGCACCACCCAACATGCGACAAGGGTGTAAACAGCCACCTCTACCTTATCTAGTTATCTATTTTGACAGGATTAATAGAACGTGCCTGGAACCCGAACATAAATTTCACCAGGGTCGCATTTCTATTTCATTTCACGCGTATCAAAAACGTGTTAAGTTTTAATTTCTGGTAGGTGAGAAGGTATTTTTCACTTTTAATACTCTCTGCTTCAAATATAATTTATTATAGTAGTGGTTTTGCTCGTATATTGGATGTTTTAAAATTTATAGTAAACCAAAAATTACAATTTTTACCTACCATTTTCATTTAGCAATTATTTGGTGTATAAAATGCTAATAAATATTCCGCAATATTAAGAATATTTAAACTTAACTAAAATTATACATAGAAAATATATATATTTTCTATAGTGTGGCCAAACCTAATAATAATAAAAGTACTTTTTAACAAATAATGTTGATTATAGGACTTATACTGTATACCCATAAGAAGTTAAGTACCAAACCAACAAATTTCATATAAACAAATAAAATAAAATGCATTGCTGAAATGATTAGGGAATATGTATAGGTATACACAAAGATTTTTCTTCAAATGAATGAATACTGAAAGTTTAATCTATGCGTTGCCAAAATTACCAGACAAACCTTTGAAAAAACAATATTACTGCTGATTTTATTTTTTTAGGTTTCCAAAAGCTAATAGAAATTTTCTATTTCAGTCATGTGTGTACGTTTAAGCCAATCAAGACAACAAGTTTTCGAAATATCTGTCAAATTATTTTCAATTTATTTTCACTTCATCTTGTGATATTACTGTTGATTATTTCCCTCATTATAATATGAACCAATCAAAAGCCTTGAATTTTCGAATAAATTTCGTTTACATAAGCGATTACGAGCCCTAACACAAAAATGTTCGGACACTTCATAATTTATACAGAAATATTTTTCGTGAATACTATCTCAAAATTATTAGAAGTTATGAAAAATTCAGCTTATTTTGGCATATGCCCCTCGAAGCAATTTTTATTTTTAAAAAGTTTACCTTTTATTTTTAGCTTTTAAGAAAAGGCTAACTTTTTAACTTTTTTTTGTATTAGTAAAAAAATTATAAATGGGCCCATTAAAAAGAACATAAAATATTATACAAACCCTGAAAATTTGATAAAAATTGTATAAATAATAAGAAAGTTATAACGATATATATATCTGCAAAATCTCCCGTTTCCTATAGGAAAATTGCAAAAACTCTTTAAAAATAGCATTTTTAAATTACTTATACTTTTTTATAACTAATTTATTTTTTACCAAATTTTCAGGGTTTGTATAATATTTTATGCTCTTTCTAATGGGTCCATTTATAACTTTTTTTACTCATACAAAAAAAAGTTTAAAGTTAGCCTTTTTTTAAAAGCTAAAAATAAAAGGTAAACTTTTTAAAAATAAAAATCGCTTCGAGGGGTATATGCTAAAATGAGCTGAATTTTTCATAACTTCTTATAATTTTGAGATAGTATTCACGAAAAATATTTCTGTATAAATTATGAAGTGTCGGAACATTTTTGTGTTAGGGCTCGTAAATCACTAGAACTATTTAACAGCGATTAAATTTTAGCCTCCATATTAGATTTTTGTTTACGATTTTATGGTGTTATTTACAAGTTTATAAACATTTTTTAAAAAACAATAAAAAATAAGTTATCTAGTTTACGAAATATCAATTATTTCTTATTACATACCTTAAATTAATGGAATTTTCTTTAAAAAAATATTTATAAATTATGACACATACGTCAGATTTTATGAATTGTCAAATAGTTTCCTTTAATTCGAGAAATAATCCAGACGTATATCACTCAACCTATAAATTTAATCTGTCAAACTATGCTCAGTAAGTTTTTTATTTGATTTTTCTTTTTGGAAAATAGTTTCATGCAAAATATTTAAAAATAAAACCGCTCGTGATTTTATTAAACTATTTTGCATTCAACATTTTCCAACACAAACCAAACAAAAAACTACTGAGCCTAGTTTAACCGATTAAATTCATAGTTCTCGTGATATAATATATGATTATTTTTTGACGTTTTTAAATGCCAGTAATAATTTTTAATTTCAGTCATTTGTGTACGTTTAAGCCAATCTAAAGATTATTATATCGGAAATAATATCTACTAGAATTTATTTTCGCGGAAATTTTATGATCTGTCAGATGACAGATATCTATCATCAGTATTTTAAAATGAACAGCAATAGGTTTAGTTCAATGTGTTAGGATGAATTAAACGCTCAAATAACAAAAAATACATTAATAAAATAGTCAAATCAACAATAAATCAATTTGGAAACAATTTCAAAAGTTTTGTAGTGAAAAATAATCTTTCGAATACCACTCGAGAGATCAATAAATTATAAAAATAATTCTCCAGAAAATTTCAGTCATGTGTATACGTTTAAGCCAATCAAAAGATTATTATATCGGAAATAATATCTACTAGAATTTATTTTCGCGGAAATTTTATGATCTGTCAGATGACAGATATCTGTCATCAGTATTTTAAAATGAACAGAAAAGGTTTAGTTCAATATGTTAGGATGAATTAAACGCTCAAATAAGAAAAAATACATTAAAAACATTGTCAAACCAGCAATAAATCAATTTGGAAACAATTTCAAAAGTTTTGTAGTGAAAAAGGATTCTTCAAAAAATAATCTTTGGAATACCACTCGAGAGATCAATAAATTATAAAATAATTCTCCAGAAAATTTATCAAACTTGTTGTCATTCGGCAATAAACACTCGAGCCCTACGGACTCTCGTAGCTATTACCAGACAACAAGTTTTCGAAATATCTGTCAAATTATTTTCAATTTATTTTCACTCACTTGTGATATTACTGTTGAAATTACATGCTCTTAAGTGATTGTTTTTAAACATTTTAAATAGTTTAAAAATGTAATTGAGAAGCCGGTTTTGCACGGATGCTCCTCAATTAATGTTTTAAACCAATACAACTCTAGTTAGTTATTTAATACCACAGTAAACCTCGAAATTAACAGTTCGGACGTGTTATCGAAATGATACTAAGAATTAATTTTTAAGAATAAAACTATTTTTTGACGAATTTTACCGTTATGGAAAATTATCCAGTTTATACTATTGTTTTATAATTATTATTGGAAATTGTAATTTATAGGTATGTATATTTTTCTAAAATCAACTTTAGTACAAACAATCCATTTTCTGACCAGAGTGACTATAACTATTCCAAAACCCTCTTTAGAGGTTTTTATAATAATTATTATATACAACAATTAAAAGATTACCCGTCAAAACTTGAAAGTACAGGGCTGTGCACAGTTCTCATCAAAATATTAAAAAGTGACACCAATTTGGTAACGGGTTTATTAATTAGTGTCTAACGAAGCAAATCTGGCATAACGTAACCAAATTATAACGATTATGCGGCATTATTGTGTGACGTGAATTAATTATTTTCCATAATTTCAGCTTGCGAGTGCAACCAGCATGCTCGCAAATGCAGATTTAACATGGAGTTGTACAAACTGTCAGGACGGGTGTCTGGAGGCGTGTGTCTAAAGTGCCGCCACTATACTGCTGGACGACATTGTCACTATTGCCGGGAAGGCTACTACCGAGATCCCACCAAGCAAATTACACACCGCAAAGCTTGCAAACGTAAGTAACTTTTTATCCAAATCATATCTGCTTACTACTTTTAATATCTTATATTTTATCATATATTATTATAATAATAAAGATTTTTATCATAAAGAGGATTCTTCAAAAATGTAAATATAGTTTTTACTTAATAGAAATAAAAATTAGTTACTGGAATGGTTAAAAAGAGAAATATGAAATATGTATAGAATAGGCTTAATATTTTTTCTGGAAATATATTCTTAGGAAATATTTCCAGCATTCCTTAAAACGGTTTATAAATTTTTATTTGGGTTCATTTTCATTATTATTATCATCAGCATCAATTGCTTTTCTTTGCTTTAAGCATTTTATCAATTTATGATTTCCTGACCTCATTTTATAACTATGTATAATAATACTAAATTAGTATTGGTATACTATAGTATATAAAGTTATAAAATAAGCTCAGGAAATCATAAATTGATAAAATGCTTAAAGCACAGGAAAGCAATTGATGCTGATGATAATAATTATGAAAATGAACCCAAATAAGAATTTATAAACTGTTTTAAGGAATGCTGGAAATATTTTCCAAGAATATATTTCCAGAAAAAATATTAAGCATATTCTATACATATTTCATATTTCTCTTTTTAACCATTCCAGTAACTAATTTTTATTTCTATTAAGTAAAAACTATATTTACATTTTTGAAGAATCCTCTTTAAGAATGCTGGAAATATTTACCTTTACTATGCTAATACTTGTGGAACTCTTCATTTAAGATATATTTATAACGTATTTTTTATTTGCTTTTAAGACCTTCCTTAAAATTTCATAATGATGTTGTTAACATGGAACTTTAAGTCTGTATAAGAATGGCAATAATATAGTTTATTATTCGTAATAAAATAGAAATTATTTAAATAATTTTATTGTTCATTAATTGGCTCTCGAATGCAAGATCTTTTAAAAGCCTACGCAAATAACTTTTGAGAAAATAAAACAATTTAATAATTTACCTATTTGGTATACCGGTAACGATCCTAATTTCAAAGAAATAAAATATGTAATTTATTGCTTCCTTCATTAATTAAAGATGTGCATATGTTTTCAACCTACACAAAGAGAGGAAAGCACTATTAAAAGAAAACACACATAAATCCTAAATAGTAACTTACACCTTGGCTACAATAAATCAATGTACCTTTTCATATTTGCATGCAACAAGTACAACGCTTATTTGCTTTGCATATTGTATAGTGGTTTTAATTAAGCAATTTATTTGTCTTAATCGAGCACACGCACCAATCAAACCTAACATTAGAGAAATTTCAAAACCTGTCCAAATCCATTCATTGCAAATAAAGAAAGCTGTAGGCATATGAACATCGAAAGTTATTAAGTATTAATAAAACAAATTGACAGATATTATAGGAAAGAGAATTAACACAGAGTGGATTTGAGGATTTCAATTATTTAAAAGGATTTTCCTGTTTGAATTAAAGCAAACATTATTATCAACTTTGATTGAATCTTATGTTGTTTTATAGGTGATTTAAAGCGCAATTTTTAATTCTTATATTGAATTTGAATCGATGTTCATATAATGGTTAGTTATTACAAGCTTACTAGTCTTACTTAGCTTACTAGCAGCTGAGTAATAATATTATTAAATATTAAACATGTCAGACATAATAAATAAATATTATTTACACAGGAGTTAATTTAATGGAACTAAGATTAATTTAAAAATGATTTTATCAACATTCAACACACTCTTGCATATATAATTTTAAAATAGAGTACATAAATCATCTTTTCGACCAATACCCTGAAGGCTCGCAGGAATGACGCACCAAAGTTTGTTTATTCGCAGGAGGAAACTAACTATGCAGCTGACCTTGCAACGCAGCGCAGACTGTGTCCTTAATTGAAACTAATTTGTCACCGCAATCTTACAAGGGTGGCTTTATTAAAACTGGATCTCGTATTAGTTTTGATTAATATTAATAGGATAATGCTCTAAGCCTGATATAGTGTCTAACACTTGGTCTATATTACTTTGGGGTATTACAGATATATTTTTAAAATGTTTTTCCAAATTAATTAGTTTTTTGGGATAATACCCGTATTTTATTATTTTAATTAATAATATAAACTCTATACTCTATACTCTATATAAGGGTCAAAATAGCCAACTCTATAATTTTTCGATTTTAATGAAAATTAATATTGACCAACTTATATAAAAATATTTTTAATTGGAATACCGTTAAGTCGAGCCCTAGCATTTTCATGTAGCTTGACATTCAGAGAGTGGTGGCCGCTGTAGCGCGCTGTGTGGACCCACCTTACTGAATTAATTGAATGAATTATTACCTATATCCCCAATTTTAAATATGCGGGCGTTGATTTATTGGTTTAGGGTTAATATATATTTTAAATTGACTTTATGTATTTTAAACTTTCAATTATAATAAAATAGGTGCATCTTACATCCCATCTTATATAGCTCAGGTTTACATTTAGGTAAAAAAAATATATTTTTCATCCCATACCGCATTTTTTGAAAAAAAGTCCCAAAATATTTTGACATCATATACAGTTTGTTCCCGGATAGGTGAAACGACTCTTGGAAAAGAATAATAATATTTATACCATGTTACTAATAGTAACTTACTATTAGTTTAATTTTATTTCAATGTTTTTTTCATGGTTACCTTGACAAAATAAATTTTTTTAAATAGTAAGTGCATTATTAATTTGGATAGAAAATCGTTTCTACTTAAAAAAAATTTAATAAAATTTAGTAAGGGGTCGTTTTGAGGAGTGGTGAATTCAGTGTCATGCATAGATTTTTTTAAATCGTTAATAATTTTTTTAAAAATTTACTCTCAAAAACTGACATAATAGGCCTTTTATTTTAAAAAATTTGTTTTTTTTTGCTATAAAAATATAGTTTATCAAGATCTACACTTTAAAAGAAATCCGGTTATAATCAAACAATAAATAAAGATTTTACAGGGGTGAGTCGCAAACAAATGGGTCAAACTGAAAAAAAATATTCTTGTACCAAATAAATTTATTTGATTCAAAACAATCTTTATCTCATATATAACGAAGAGAATATATTCTTGAAAATAGTAAAGTATTTTCTTAATTCACGTATTTACTTCAAGAATCTTTTCTTAATGTAAGAAAATTAAATTTCTTTAAATAAAACTATGATTAATTCAAGAAAATGTATTTTATTTAACCAAATTTTGTTGTTTTAAAGCAAGAATATGTTCTTTTAAAAATAAATTAGTGGTATTCTTAAATAAAAAAGATACTTACTTAATTCAAGAATAAATTTTCTTGATACAAAAACTTTTGATATTGAAATAAGGCAATAATTTTTTTAAATCAAGAAGTTTTCTATAGCCCAATATTTTTTCAATAAGATTTAAAATTTTATTTCATTGATCACTAAATAATATTTATTTTAAAACAATGCAAGAAGTATCGTTAAAAATAAAATGTATCTATCTTAATTTAAAGCTAATTTTAGCAATGTTTCATAAAATCTATCATTTTGTATTTAAACTCAATAAAATGATACCTCTATTATACCTAACTAAAAATTATTTATTTTAATAATAAAAACAACTTGAAAAGATGTAGGTACAAATATAGAATACTGATAAATAATAGTGGAGCATGGGTTGGTACAATATGGAAAGTACGGTTCGCGACGGTGGCGCAAGATAAAATACTTTTAACCGCCCTTAAACGTAGGTACTTTGTTCTTACTACCGGCATATAAAATATTTCTGTTTAACCTCTTTTTAATGCGTTTGTTTTAATTAAAAGGAATCGTTTCGTTACACAGTAAAAAAAGCTTCAGTGCCTATAGGCTTCACTAGAGAACACTAGTTATAGCTTAAGCAGGTCCACTTTATTATAGTTCAAATTTTCACCTTAAATTTAGGGTGAATTTTAGTGTTGTTTTAAGTCTAGAGGTTGTACTCTTGTAGTGTAACACATTTAACACAGTTCATGCGACTTCATGCACTATTTGATTGAAAAGTACCTACTACACTAACCGTGTTCGGTAGCTCTCTAAAAGTGTTCACTTTTACACTAATTTATTTGTATTTATTTCACTTTTAGTGTGAATGCTATTTTTAATAGTGCTGGAAATGTATTTTATACAATGTTTATCCTATCAGTAATAGATTTAAAAATTGTCCACCAATATTGTGTAAGATTGGTGTGTAAGTTACTTAAATAAAATTCATTTTAATGTCTATAGAAATGGTATTAAATATAATATAATATTAGTACATTAAAAACCAAGCGGAGAAGGCACTTTTATTATCGCTGAGCATACATCATGCCGAGGCGTCAGCTGAGGCAGTAGATTTTGTGCGAGGCAATTATTAAGCTTTCGCTGCCGTGTTTTATATACTATTTTTTTTTCAAGCATTGCATTTTTTAAATTCTGTTACATCAATTTTAGATTAGGTTGAATTGTCGATGACATTTTAGCTTTATTTCGGTAGGAAGTTTAATAATAATTTGACTTTTGAATTAATATTAATATTCATGAAGTCTTTTTATATAGACTTTGAAGTTTTTTAATATAAAAATTATTGTGCGCTTAAAAAATATATATAATGAAGGTTTGCAATAATTCTGTTCTTATTAATTTTTTATGTACCTATTCATTTATTTTTAATTATATGTAATACTTTTGGGTAGCGCTGCTGGGGTGTTTAAATAATGTTTATATTAAACAAATAAAATTTATATTTATATAAAAATACAGTCCATTGTAAGTTTTACACTACAAAATATAAAACTAATCTTTGGAAATAACTTAAAATATAAATACGTTCAAAACACCAAATAATATTTTGGCACAAAGTAGGTACCAATTGACATGTCAATTGGTGCACTGTTAGATTGGTGTAAATTGTAAGGCTCTTTGTAAAGCAAGCTTAAAATCTCGTAGTAGGTAACCAATTCTTACCCATCTTGTGACTAAAATT